CCAGGTTGCAGCTCACTCGACGGGACCCGGCCATATTTTCAAGTTTGACGAGTCCGAAATCCTCGCACGAGGTGACAACTGCGTATAGCTGCATTATAGTGAAATCATACTCGCCGGATCTACCCCACTCTCTGACCACTCTCACATCTGTGTGTGATATAAAAACAAATATCAATAAGACCGGAGATGGGGGGAGGCGCAGGTGGCTGGCGCGACCAACACTCAATACGCGTACCGACAGCACACTTCGCTAGGTAGGTTCCTGCCTGGGAGCGTTATAAAGGCCACATTAAGAAGGAGCCATTGAGCCTGACTCTCAGCTCGCAGTTAGCCACTCTACACAACAAGACAAACACTAGACTGACTGCGGTATCCCGTCAATTAGTAACCCTCCAAGCTACGGCTATTAGTGCACCGTAATAGCTTCAAGCGCATCAGATTGTTTTTGATGAGAAAAGAAATGCGCTGAGGATTGACCTCGCTCTCTCCCTCACAGCCAGCAACAGGCCACCATCTTAGCCGATCCATCAGCTGACGACCGTATGTACCACTGCCAGTGGCACAGGGGCGGTAATTTTCACGTTAATTAAATTGTAGTGGGAGTAGACTTGCGATGCATCTATCGCACTCTATCCCCATTCAATAACTGTGTGGGTCCTGTGTCATAAACAAACCAAGAAAACCGAAGGCGGGAGAATATGCAGGTAGCTTGCGCGGCCGGAGCTGCCCCTAAGTATGCCGCCACAACTAGCTCAGAGCCCACTGAGTTGCAGTGCCATGAAGACCACATTACAAAGGCCTGACTCTAAGATGACTAGTCGGTCACTTCACACAAACACATACACACACACAAGTAGATGACTGTGAGGAGTGAGTGAAGTTTTAAACTTACAAACTTCCGAGCCACGTCGCAGCGGGCGCCGCCATAGTTTCAGGCTCCGATCACACATGCAGCAGAGGAGTCACATGGAACAGCCTAGGATCATACTTCCCTCTCACGAGTCACTGGTTGCAAACACGTGTTTTGTGTGGTGTTGGGTGTGACCATGTGTGATGCAAATGCTTAGGAGGGATGAGGCACAGGCAGCGGTGTTCTGTCGCAGGTTTTTTCATGGAGGCGCATGTTGTCTGATGAGCTCGTGCGGTATATGAAGGTGTGTGGACAGTGCAGAGGGTCGAGGCGGGTTCGGTGACTGTATGTTAGTGTTCCTGACACTGGTTCGCCGGGCTCTGTGCGTTGGATTCGCAAGTGGCCGACCAGATCGGTGCGTGAGATGAACGTGAGGTCACAGCCTAGAGTCGAGTCCCCAGTGCTGGTGCAAGGAGCAGTGGTGGTGTAGGTAGCAGGCGATGGGTTGTAGGAAGGGAGTGACTTCAGCGGGGATTTAAGAGGACAGCAGTGCATCGGAACGGAATAATCGCCGTTAAGGGGTTTCAAGCAGGGGAGACAATACGGGTGTTCTTCGATTTAGAAGTTGAACTTGTCATTCCATTGCGTCATAAAAAAATCCGGTGAGGCGTATATGCCCTCGAAAGATGCGTTAAGAACGTAGGCATGTTCGGTCGCCCTGCTGACGGCGTAATCGTCCTGAAAAGAAGGTTACCGAACATAACCGTTGAGGCCTGCCTACGTCTACTATTGAGAAGGTGCCCGCGAAATTTACTGCAAAGCCTTCTTTTTTAAGTGGGGGAGCTGTTCCCGTCCCTGTGTTGTGCGTAAGCAGCCATACAACTCATTATTGCTAAATATGGTGTTAGCCGAATAAGTCAAAAAGTTAGACTCGCGCTCGTCAGACTTCTAATAATGAATTCTTTAGGGTGAGGTTGGTGAAACTGACTTATTCGGCATACAAAGAATTGACCTTTGACACGATATTCCTATCAATAAGTGCCTTCTGCCACCAATTACTTTCACCTATTTTCTAGAGATAGAGCTTCCCTGCAGAAAGCGAATTGATGCGTGCCTTTTGCAGCGCTTAGCTGGCCAGATTTTCGTACAGGGAAATTCTTTTCTCAGAAAAACTCCTCCGAGGACATTCAAAAAACTATTGAAATATAGCTGACGTTCAGACTCCTACTTGCATGCACTGTTGTTAATAAATGCCTATACAATTTGCACTGTAGGGGTTTTCTAAAGAACTTTTTTGTAATGAGTACTTCATCCCATAAGGCTTGTGCGTGTCTACTTAACTAATGTGTTTGGGCAGTGCTTCGTTACTGTCTATCATAAAGAACGTCGGAGAGCTAGCAAGACGGCTGTAAAAACTGTCGAAGAGGAGCATGATATGAGCTGAAGGACTAGGAAAATGTCCTCTGCCGAACAGTGTAGAAAGTAGTAAAAATACGAATTGGTGAGCTTTGTCCGTAATATCTCGAAAGATATTTTAAACGTTTTAAGCCGTATTGCACAAATGTTTGTATGTAATTTTTCAGTAATATGTGCGAATAAGGACTGTAAGCTCTTCGGGTTTAAAGTAAATAGCCTGGCCTGGTTTAATTTATTATATCATGGCAATGGCAAATATCCCTACTACTACTTTTATATAAAGACATGCACAACGCTGTTTTATGTAGCTTTTGCTATTTAAATGCCTTTTAATTATTTATAGTTGCTTTCTGCTAACGTTTTACTAAGACTCTCAATTTCGTTGTTAAATATAGGTCTTAAATGGAAAATTGGCGGGAAATTATTGAGTTTTTATATTTTTGCCAAAATGTCGCTGCTATTCCATTACCAACGTTCCTGTTTTAGACTATGGAAGAGTTCGTTGAGGCCAGGGGACTTTAACTAGCCTATTTTCGTCTAGCAATTCATTTACTTTACCGAAATAATAACTAACGCCTAACATACTGTTTTTGAAATTTCCTTAAGGCGGCGAGCACTTAATTTTGAGCCTTGTCACGGGAATACATTATCTCAAAGACAGTCCTAAGTTGTGGGCCCTGAAGAGTTTATTCATGCCGATATGTTCGCTGGCACTTAAGGCAGTTAAGCGCAGGTTATCTAAGCGTAACTTAGCTTTTTCAATACATGATTTTCCACATAATGTAACGGATATCGTGATTGTTTTATTATCTTCTGGTAACAGCAGAGAGTAAAATTGTTGTGATGAGTCCTTCCGAGTCGTCAAGTCTTTGCAGTTTTACTGCACAGTAAAAACTCGGCCTTAAATTTGGTCGTATACTTCTGAAATTTTTACCATACTATTAAATGAATTTAGAAACCTGTCCAAGTTTTGTTTAAGTTATAAACCGAGACCTACAGGAAACACTAGATATTCCTTGCACAAAATGCTTTACAGATTGTTGCAATGCGTTGATTTTGGGAATTAGCATGCTTTTCTGAAAATTACTGTTAGAATAACTTTTCTTCACTAGCTTTCTTGAAAGCTTGGTAGTTCATCTAAAATATTGCCCAAATACATTGGCTTAGCGGAAGCATAAAACAACTCACTATGACTTAGTTAAACATCCATTTCTGTTTCTGCTCAAAACCTATGTTTAAATAGAGAGTAAGTCTTCAGTTACTCTATTTCTGTTTTTAGTAAAACTTTTGCTCAAAGAATATCGTTCGTCTGTACACATAGGAGGCATTGTCAAAAACACGGACAATTTGAAACCTTGAAGCAAGAAGCAACTATAATTTACACTAGAGGATCTTACTTATACAAAATGCCACATTTACGAAAGGTTGATAATCACTTTGCAACTGAAACATTTTATATGATAAGGAACAAACATAGACGAATGTAAAATTTTGAGCAAATATAAAAGTTGATATGACATTCTTTAGGTATATGAACCTTTTTCAAGAAACATCGAATGCCTACAACGTGGCAAATCATCGTAACTGTGATCAGGTGAAATTTTAACCATGCTATTTTGTGTATACTAAAATACCTCTCTATTCCTCGAATTTCCATATAGATGCTTTTGGTATTGAATGACAATAGTTTCCAGATCATCCTTCAAATTCCGGCGAATACATAACGATTTTATTGGCCAAGGTTCCTTCCAATATGTGCATATTCGTTTCTCTGTTCATTAAAGTCCCCTTAAAACCACCTACCGAAGAAGTAAGACTTGGAAAAATTTTCTAACACTATGTCCGTTTGGGTCACATTTGTAGATGCAACCAACTTTGTAAACTCACTGCTGAAATAAATGAACGTCCACAAAATACTTTGGATGTTAATATGCCCAATATCAATTTAAAACTTTTTCTCAATAAGTCACCACTTATTATAATAATTTAATTGTATGTTCGGTTAAAGAATATCTGCGGAAGTAACCTTGTTCCATGGTAAAGTCAAAGATAGAGGGGGAAACCTTGAGTAATTTTTGATTTTCTTGAAGATAAATGATTCAGTGTATGCTGAACACAAAAGAACTAAATTACTCCTTTACATTGGAGTATTCTTCATCATAGCTGATTATTTGTAGGTCATGTTTTACGATCGCAAATGCAGCCAAGATTTACCGAATATATTCCAAGATTTTGCGAAAATAACTATTTTTCTGTCCATCTTTTTTCTAAATAACGCATTAAAGGGAACTATTTTCTACAAAACTTACCTTAGCGCATAATTTAAATTGAACGTAGGTTGCTGTTGGCGTCTATCGCACGGTAAAATAAACATATTTTGTTAAGGGTTCGAATTTTCAGTGTGGTAAAATGGCTTGATATTAAACGAGGTTATCATTGCGTTTTCTGGCAAAAACTGAAAATACTTTTCAAAAAATATCTCAAAAAGTGAATTTCATTCCTCCTTCGGGAAATCAATGCTATTGCTTACACATGCATTCACCTGATTTTGATTACTTTAAGATCACTTTTTTCTGGTCCTAAAAGGGATTTATTTAACACTGTTCTGGTGTATATTAAATTTATTTTATGGCACAATACACAAGAAGTTTTGTTTTTTGTCCTAATAAATAGCATAGAAAATTTCTAGGATATGCAAAATACCCTCTATTTTGTTGATATCTTGTCATTTTGCTCTTCGTTTACAAGATTGAAATATTCGTTTCCTTTAGAAAAAGCCTTTCTCGGCCTCAAATACAGTCAAAGAAACATCATAAAAATAAGTCCAATTATATGCTAAACTTCTCGAATACTTTGGTAATCTGCTGTACGGCAGATTAATTTGGATTAACAATACTTCAATCGCAGCACCGCTACAACCGGCGGTGGTGCAGCTGCTACCATAGTGGTGTTTCTACGGCCCTCCCACCGATACAATTCTCCCTGTTTTGTTTAATGACTTCACTGTGTAGTGGGTTCCATTAAGTGTGCCGCTAAAATGTACACCGGTGGGATTGCCTAGGCAGAAGGCTGTCTGTTGGGAAACTATGTAAAGGAGAAGATAATTTACGGTTGCGTATTAATATGCATAAATAGATGGATATTACTTTCTTCCTACAAGCATGTAGTTCTCGAAAAGGATGTTCTATTAGGGCGTATAAAACAACATCTTTGTGATTTTAAGTTAACTGCTGTTACCACCTAAGAACTACTGGGTAAATGGAAAGCTTTTAGGTTAACATGTCTCAGCCGGGTTTATAAAGGAATCTACCTGATACCTGAGCGATTTCTCAGGCTTAAATGTGTACCCCTACGTACGCCTATCTTTGAGGACATTTTTTTAACTACTGAAGAAGCAGTACTACAATCCTGAAAATCAATTTAAAAACAATTATTGCTAACTTGCGCAAAATAAAACATTTGAATTACTTTCCATCGGCATTTGCCCAAATACTTTAACTTGCAGAGGTTTGCTATACTCGGGTCTATTTTTGAATAGTTATCGAAATATACCAAGTTTTGAGGACTTTGTTTTACGAGCAGATGGGAGGAATTTTCAGTACGCTTGGTCGTTTTTTATTAACTTGCTTCAACTCTGACAGCTTACTGTCTATCAGCTCGCTGCAATAATTAATGCAACAGCTTTTTTGGTTCAGCAGGAATTGACTAATACGTGATTATGTTTTAAATCTCTCAAAAGTCAGACCCCATCTTTCATTCTTTGCAGTGGTGACACCCTGTTGTTAGTATTCTACGCACGATCATAGTTCCCGATACTGCCTTTCCTCATGTCTTTAGATGGGTCAATCAACAAAGGGTCTTATAGCAGTGGACGGTGTGATCGCTAAAAAAAGTAGTTGCCAATACAAGTGAACATGCGAGTCCCAGGAAGCTATTGAGAAGAAGACGACTCGATCACTGGGACAACACTTTTATTCGCCTGACGTTTCGAGATCCGTCGTGGATTTATCATCAGAGACGTAAGGAGGAAGCAGTAGCACATAGGGTAACATATGCGTAGGAAGTTGTAGTATTTATAGCATACAGTAATTACTTCAAACTTGTGACAACGATAATTAACGGCGACTCCTTCTTGCGCA